AAATGTTAATGTCAACAGGAAGCACTGTTAAAGTCAACAGAAGTCAATCACGTGACTCCTTTCCCACGAAGACAGTATAAAAGCTCGAGCCCCCGGAAGCTCCGGGCAATCCAAAGGAAGTTATACTCTTTAATGTGTGCATCTTGTCTCCATACACTGGACATAACGACCGAAAGGAGAAGACATCGACATATGCCAGACCACAACTTCGAACTTCAATCGCCATACACAGTTCCTGCGCCGACTACGATTCCTACGACCCATTCAACGCACGCACACCATTCATTTCCTCATAGAGGTATTTTTATTTAGAGTTTTGTGAACTCTCTCTCTCAGAATAGCCGTTAGAGCTGTTAAGAGCGGCCCTCTGTATAGTAAACTCATATTTAACCGCATTTAAACTTATTATTATTATCGCCTCATGTAACCTAGCTTAATTATTCAATAAATGTTTTGCTTCTTTATTAAGCCTGTCTATCGTTGTACTTGCCGACTTACCGGCGCACTCCCCACTCAATTTGCCCTCCTAAGCCATTCGAGGACCTCGAGACCGGGTTTTACCAGCCCGCGCAGGGTATGTGGTCATTTGGGATCATCCCAGTGGCCCTCTGCTAGTCTCACATTGCCTCTGCTAGTCTCCACGTGCCAGCTTGTTGGTGAATGCAAACCCGTGACCTATGTTCAGTGATTATTTTTAAAGGAGAGCTACAAATTATACATTATTTCTGAGGTTTTAATTCAATTGAACTGTACAGTACAATGTGTTAGAATACAAAAAAAACTTAACTTCATTATGAAAAAAGTTAAATACAGTTTAACTGGATCGAAGTTTACTATTTTCACGCGTGTTTATAGAGAGACCTTTTTCTATCTGATAATATCATCGATATGAGTAGACAAAAATGATGATAATGAAGACGATGACGATGATGACTCTCTAATCGTCACCACCTGATAATGGTGGGAGAGCTCAGTAATTTTACTTATCCATAGAGCAATGCAGGCTGGAACACAAGATCCTGATAGGGACGTTTATGCCAGTAAGGTATATGGGGGAAAATGAAGCTAAGAGTGACCATACCCTTATTCTGTGGAGATATTCATCATGGTAGTAACCAGATTAAAGTATGATACCGGCTCAGATGTACACAGATTAACAAGGTCCGCGTTCGTGGGTTAGGCAGAGGCTCGCGTTCGTGGGTTAGGCAGAGGCTCGCGTTCGAAGAATAGGCCACAATCGCCCTTGGTTACCGGTGGCGAAAGCAGCACCGGCACAAGCATGGCTACTGCAATGCCTTCAACAGAAATGAGGAACCAACCCAGCCTTGGTGTTTCTGTGGCAACGTATCCACAGACCACAAACGCTGGAAAACCACACTAACGATTAAAATGCAAAATATCAATAGAAATGAACGAATTTATCATCTGCACTTACTACACCATCACAAGACTGAAAACAAACATAACAGCGTACAGACAACTATATCATAGATTCACACAATAATATCCTCACCTCACTGTCACCAAAAAAGAATTGATGATCAAAAAAGAACAAATATACACAACTAACTTATCCCACAAACGACACTTGAACTTATCAAATAACAGGGTGCTGTTCAAATACATCAACAGACAGAAACATTTAACATTAATGAAGATCGTGTTACCTGTCAGGATAATCCAGCAACAAGCACTGATTAAAGCACAAACACAACAACTACTAATAACACCTTCACTACAAACAAATACAGACACTGCGGAAGTTTTTCTACAAAAAACAAGAAACATCAGAGTAAAATAAAGTAGTAACTCTAGCAGACTCAACACACAACTAAACTTACATTCACATCATACGGACACGACACAACATATAAAAAGCATATATACCATTAAGCAATCGTGGTTTTGTGGGGTCCCAAACGAGGTTCGAACTCGAGTAAACCGTGAAATTCTTGCGCGACACAAAATGTAAACAACGAGACTCGGAACGGTTCGAGTATGTGTCAAACTATCTGTCAAGGTCTTAGTGGAAGACATACTCTAGTACGAGCGCTCATAAACAGGTAGATCTTTGACACGCGTGTCTATAAAATGTTGGTCGAGATAAACCTTTTCGAACAAAAGAAAGGGAATATTTGATAGATGAAAAATGAAAAATGATCGTTAAATTCTTAGACGTCAAAAAATGGTAAATAACGGCCTGAGTTATGAGTGCAGGTGTTATTATTTTATAAACAGTCACCGAGCAGAGTCGACAAAGAGGTATCAGATGGACACCTCGAATCGGACCTTTCCCGCGACCCGAAAAAGTTTCGTCTTGCACCTGGAGACAAAGGAGAGACCAATCGGGAGGCGAGGAATGGGACGAGGGACCAATCCGAAATGAGAATAGTGGGGTAAAAACTATAAAAATATGAACTTCAAGGTCGAAAAGGGAGTCTCCTCTGGATTAAGCCTACCGTTGTGATTTAGATTGTGTTGTGCAACCGCCGATCACCCAGGACGCCGCAGCTTAACAACGAACATCTGTATCGTCCAGTGATCCTTCTCGTCCGCCCGGGCTGCGATCGATCACCCGAACTTTCGCCGTTCACAGGAGCACCGAGATTTGGAATTGTCCAATATCGATGTAAGCATGAATTCGAACAAATAAACGGGTTTTCTTTTGTAAAACACTTGTTCTTCATTTGCCTCCTTTGCCACCACCCACATACGCGGTTTCCCTTAGGCTCATTCTGAGGGGAGATAGACTTTATTCCCCCTCAAAGTCGGCAACCTTACAGTCTCAAAAGGCACACCACGGCACGCATCCCTACGACCTGTCCCAGGAGTTTGTTGACAAAACTGCGTCAAACAGCTGGTTAGCTCGGAGATGCCTCTTTGGGGAGACGGAAAAATTCATGATTGCTTTAACTAAATACTAAAAACTACAGAAAACACATATTCAAACATACACCACTCACAAATGACAAATGACACATGCAAAAAATGTCACATCATGCCAAAATCTATACAACACATCACTTCTGGTTGCAAGCTCTTGGCGCAGACAGATTATTTACATAGACATAATCAATTAGCAAATAGAGCTTGCAAACAAACACAAATTATTAGACATGCACGAACCATACTACAAATACATTCCACAGACAGTATTGTAAAACGACAGGAACAAACGGTACTACGACAAAACCATAATCACAGATAAAACAATTTACCACAACAGATCAGACATCACACTCATTGACAAACACAATAAAATCACATACATTATAGACATATCCATTCTAAACATTCACAATATACAAAACACATTCACTGAAAAAATCAGCAAGTACACGGAACTTGCCCAGGAAAGAAGGCACCTGTGGAAGATGGATATGGTGCTTATTGTACCTGTCGTTCACTCCTCTACAAGGGTCATACCGCACACACTACACAAAAGCCTGGGAAGATTACAATTGAATAGAAATACATACATCACACTACAGAAGACCACTATATTGCATACATGCCACATTGTTTGGAAATTCCTGAATACAGACACTGACACACTTATTTAATTTTTGTCTTGTTTTGATTACTATGCTTTGACTCTGATCCTGCATAGTACACAGCAACCGGTGTCAGTAGTGTATAACTCACTAAATTCAACATAATAATAAGCGCAGAGCCCAACGGTTAGGAGTTGAAATTTGGTACACAGTAGGGTACGTCATGAGAACGTACACTAAGAAGGGATTTTTCAAAATTCCTCCCCGCGGGGGAGAGGGAGAGGATTAAGGATTACCCTCAACTCAGATTCTACTGTACTATTTTAAATGCGGTGTTTTACGTTTTTGACTGAGATTTAGTAGGATATGCCATGAGAATGCACATTAAGAGGGGATTTATGGAAATTTCATCTCCGATGAAACAGAAGGAGAGAGTTAGTTTTAGTCATTAAATAATAAAGAAGGAAAATAAATAGTGACACATATAGCATACATTTTGGCAATTAATAAATATTTTAATCATTTCCACTTCTCGGGTAAGCCAAAAACAATAAACCCAAAATAAACGAATTGAAATTTACGTAAGATAACATTCGTAGTTATATAAATCAAATATTATAGTATAATACAATAGAAGAGTTAGAAGTACAAAAGAATCTAATAATCTTAATCATTGTTAGTTTTATTTTTTGCCCGTGCTAGCAGGGCTCATCTGCTAGTATATAAATATAACTGTTAGATCTACTGTTACAAATAAATTTTTAACGTAGGAAATAATATTAACAGATGCTGTTGTTACATTACAGAATTAATTAAATGCTATAGTTATTTATTTTATGTAAATACTTTAAAAACAAGACATTAAGAATATAGTGTTAAATACAGGATAGCCATAATTAAAGTTTCTCTATTTAGAGCACTGTGTAGCTGAACAAATATGCTCATTTCAAGAAAAAATTTATATACAGACTATGCAAAGGGCACGTAAAAGGATCTTGCATAAACAAATTTAGTACGAAAACTTCTGCTATAAGGCGCATTACAGGAAAATACATGAAACAAAACAATGAAAATGCATTTATTTGTACCGCATGGGAGATGCCTTCTGCAGATATGGTTTACTAATTAATTAAGGAATGTTACAGAATGTATTCCACATTGATGTAAAATTTGAGTGATAAACAGTGTGTACTATAGAGAACCCCAACTCCTTTTCAGTGATGCTTTGAACAAACAGTGTAATACGATGGAAATGTTGCAAAATTTGCAACATTTCCATGATAAGCCATGTTCCAAACGATATATGCCAAACTCCTCCTAGAAGAAGTTTTTGAACTAAAATTTTTTTGCAAAATCCTTTTTCGCATCTTCTGCATAGTTTGTACACGAATTTTGGCGTCAATCCGTTTATTGTTTACAGCTATAAAGTGCTCTGAATAGAGAAATTTTAATTACGGTTGCTCTGTATGTTTTAATTTATTGTATATATTAATTGAAAAACCTTACCAATATGTTTAACGGGCTTTCTATCTTCTTCATCCCAAATATCTTTAGTGTACTGTATAAATACTTGACCATATTCTAGTTGCTTCGTTTCATCCAAAACACCAAACATGATTCTCCCTTGATCAGGTGGAATCGGTATACGAGTTTTAACCTTTAATTTATCTAAAAATTTATCGTTGTATAATATTATTATATACTAAACGCAGTATATAAAGAAATATACAAAGAATAATCTGCTTTACCTATATGTTTATAGAATATAGCTCTCAGCAATGAGAGAAAGAATGGTTCGTAGAGCATATCAATGCCAAACTCGTTAATTTTGCCATAATTGATGCGAAAGGCACAATATTGTTTTAACATATCTCTTGCATCTTCCTCGTAGATGAAACTCTTTAACGTTTTCTCGAACATACTTTTTTGCAATTTAAAAAATACTCTGTCCGGTATGTCGAACTGTGATAAAATTGTTATGATTTGTCTGTTTAGATAAACCATTCCTGTAATAAATTTATTTAACAATTACTTTAGAATATTTAAATAAATATTCATATTTTACATCGAAAGCACCATATGTATATGGAATATCATATCAGAAAACATCATATTCAATTAAAAGATTTGAAATTTTATTCATTACGAATACAAAAAAGTAATTAACAACAGATTTAAAAATGTCCGGAAATCTGAACTCTGTCTCTGATCTAAAGACCTGAAGAAGACTGATCTCTAATACTTTACAGCAGTTTATTTAAGCAAAATACCACAATATCTGTTTGTTTTACTGCATCTAATTAACCAAAGTTCTTATTTTCTACTTTAGAAGCCCTATTTATTTATATATTTTATTATATGATAAACATTTTTATTATAAAGTAACATGCCATAAAGAACAACAACAACCTGACTAAATATGGCA